GGAAATTTCCTCCTTTTTTGGATAATTCCCTTATTTTTGGGGTGATTTCCTCCCATTTTTGGGGCAATTTCCTCCTTTTTGGGGTGATTTCCTCCCATTTTAGATAATTCTCTTCTTTTTGAGGTGATTTCCTCCCATTTTTGGGGTTATTTATTTTGTCTTTTTTTTGGATAATTCTCTCCTTTTGGGGTGATTTTGTCCTTTTTTATGGATAATTCCTTTTTGGGGTGATTTCCTCCCATTTTTGGATGGTTTTCCCCCTTTTTGGGACAATCTCCCGCCTTCCCAAGCATTTTTGGGGTCCCTACCCTATCCCTGCCCCCCCAACTACCCCAAATTTCGGAAAACCCCCAAAACCTCACCCCTGATCTCCCTTTCCATGGAATTTCTACCCAACTTTACTCACAATTAACACCAAAAACATTTATTTTAATTAATTTCAAGTAGAGACACAACAAAAATCAACGAGAAAAAAAAAAAAACCCACAAAATCACCCCAATTTTTGAATTCTCAATTTTGGGGCGTGCAGAACTTGGAGGAATCCCCAAAAATCCTCAAAAAAAACCCCAAAAAATCCAATTTTTTCCCCACAGAGGGCAAAGGGCAGCGGGAGAAGCTGGAGCTGGTGGCCTCGTTCTCGTTTTTTGGGAATGTCATGTCCATGGCCAGCGTCCAGCTGGCCGGAGCCAAGAGGGACGCGCTGCTCCTCAGCTTCAAGGATGCCAAGGTAGGGGGACAACCCAAAAAACACCCCCAAAAAATCACAAAGAACCTCGAAAAACCACCAAAAAATCACAAAGAACCTCCAAAAACCCAAGGAAATCAAAGAATCTAAAAAAATCCCCAAAAAATCACAAAGAACCTCAAAAGAGCTCCAAAAAATCCTAAAGAACATAAAAAACCCCAAAAATCACGAAGAACCTCGGAAAACAACCAGAAAATCACAGGGAACCTCAGAAAACCACAAAAAAATCTCTCAGAATCTCAAAAAACCCCAGAAATCACAGAGGACCTCAGAAAACCACAAAAAAAATCTCAGAATCTCAAAAAAACCCAAAAAATCACAAAGAACCTCAGAAAACAAAATAAAATCACAAAGAAACCCAGAAAACAAACAAACAAAAAACCCTCAAAAAATCCCAAAGAATCCCAGAAAATTAAAAAAAAAAAACAAAACACAAAAAATCTCAGGAAATCCCAAAGAACCTCAGAAAACCACAATAGAATCCCAGAAATCCCACAAAAATCCAAAGAACCCCAAAAAACAGCAAAAAAATCTCAAAGAACCCCAAAAAGTCCCAAAGAATCCCAGAAAACCCCCCAAAATCCCAAAGAACCTCAAAAAAGAGACCCCTAAAAAGATCCCAAAACCCAAAAAACCCCATTAAGAATTGTGGGGTGCTGTTGATGATTTTGGGGTGCCGTAACTCAGTTTTGGGGTGGAGTTACGGATTTTGGGGTGCTGTTGATAACTGTGGGGTGCTGTGACTCAGTTTTGGGGTGCAGTTGATCATGTTGGGGTGCTGTTGATAATTTTTGGGTGCTCTTCATAATTTTGGGGTGCTGCAGATGATTTTGGGGTGCCCTAAGGGGTTTTTGGGGTGCTGTCCCTCAGCTCTCGGTGGTGGAGTGCGACCCCATTTTGGGGTGATGTGACTCTGTTTTGGGGTGCCATTACAGATTTTGGGGTGCTCTAAGCTGTTTTTGGGGTGCTGGGACTCAATTGTAGGGTGCCATTACAGATTTTGGGTGCTGTAGAGGATTTTGGGGTGCCATTACAGATTTTGGGGTGCCCTAAGGGGTTTTTGGGGTGCCCTGACCCGTTTTTGGGGTGCTGTTCCCTCAGCTCTCAGTGGTTGAGTACGACCCCATTTTGGGGTGCTAGGACTCAATTGTGGGGTGCAATTACAGATTTTGGGGTGCCATTATGGATTTTGGGGTTCTGTATATGATTTTGGGGTGCCATTACAGATTTTGGGCTGCTGTAGATGATTTTGGGGTGTTGATGATAATTTTGGGGTGCCCTGACCCGATTTTGGGGTGCTGTTCCCACAGCTCTCAGTGGTTGAGTACGACCCCATTTTGGGGTGCTGGGACTCAATTTTGGGGTGCAATTACAGATTTTGGGGTGCTGTTGATAATTCTAAGGTGCTGTGGATGATTTTGGGGTGCTGTGGATGATTTTGGGGTGCCCTGACCCGATTTTGGGGTGCTGTTCCCTCAGCTCTCGGTGGTTGAGTACAACCCCATTTTGGGGTGCTGTGACTCAGTTTTGGAGTGCAATTACAGATTTTGGGGTGCTGTTGATAATTTTAAGGTGTTTTAGATGATTCTGGGGTGCTGTGGATGATTTTGGGGTGCCCTGACCCGATTTTGGGGTGCTGTTCCCTCAGCTCTCGGTGGTGGAGTACGACCCCGGCACCCACGACCTCAAGACTCTGTCCCTGCACTACTTCGAGGAGCCGGAGCTGCGGGTGGGGCTGAACCCCAAATTCCTCATCCCCCAAAATTCCTCATCCCCCCAAATTCCCTCATCCCCCCAAATCCCAACCCCCAAATTCCCTCATCCCCTAAATCCCCTCATCCCCCCAAATTCCTCATCCCCCCAAATCCCCTCAGACCCCCAAATCCCACACCCCAAAGTCCCTCATCCCCCCAAATTCCCTCCTCCACCCAAATTCCCTCATCCCCCCAGATTTTGGGGTTCCAGAGCCACCCCAATCAACTCAAATTCCCATTTTCCCAGACAGCTTAGTGCACACAGAGCTGTGGGATGGATTTTGGGGTTTCTCCATGTCCCAAATTCCCATTTTTTCCAGGATGGCTTAGTGCAGAACATGCACATGGGGCTATGGGATGGATTTGGGGGTTCCAGAGCCACCCCAAACCCCCAAATTCCCATTTTTCCAGGATGGCTTCGTGCAGAACATGCACATGCCCCACGTGCGGGTGTGGGGTCACTCTGGGATGGATTTTGGGGTTCCAGAGCCACCCCAAACCCCCCAAATTCCCATTTTTTCCAGGACGGCTTCGTGCAGAACGTGCACACGGAGCTATGGGATGGATTTTGGGGTTCCAGAGCCACCCCAAACCCCCCAAATTCCCATTTTTAAGGACGGCTTTGTGCACAGAGAGCTTTGGGATGGATTTTGGGGTTCCAGAACCACCCCAAACCCCCAAATTCCCATTTTCCAGGATGGCTTCGTGCAGAACGTGCACATGCCCCACGTGCGGGTGTGGGGTCACTCTGGGATGGATTTTGGGG